TTGTATAAAAAAAATATTTGAATTTTTTATTTAGGTGTAAAAAAAATGTTAACTACCTAACTGCAAAGATTAAAGACTGGTTAAATATGAAACAGTTTTTTTGACAACCCTAGCCTAAAACCCTCTTCACCCCAGTTTTGAGTCTGTTCACCCCGAGCACGGGGTGAACCGGGTTTGACCAGTTTTTTACGATTTTCTCTGATTTTTGTTAATAAAACATTATAACTATGTATTTTTTAATAAACTTTAGAGTCTCGGAACATTAAAAAAATACCTTTAATCTTATTTTGTCAAGTGCTCATATATTAAAATTGTAAAGAAAGTTCAAAAGTGACCCGCTTCACCCCATTTTACGGTACTTGGATATGTGACCGCCTGGGAACACCACGTGACGTTGGCTTTTTGCAGTTTGATTTACAAAGAATAAATTTATTTTGTTGTTTTTATTTCTGAATTTCTTTTTGGTACTTGCTAAGTACTAAATATCTAGTTATATGTAGAAATATTTCCGATTTAATAGCAGCAGATTTAGCAGCAGCACATTTCACTATTTTATCATCAAATCTTGGAGGTAAGAAACAAAGACTACCTTTACTCTTTCTTTATTGTAAGTATATTCTGATTGTTTACATATAAACACTTTGTTCTAGTAGGAAATACATTTCATACTGTTCTAGCTGCTTTCCAGGGGCTTCAAACTTAGAATATAATACTGGGGACAGCAACGGATACAATGATACAAAATGACGAAGTATGACGTAGCCAATGTTCAAAATGAGTTTCAATGTCTTTTTAAATTTGTTGGGTTACATCGTGACGTAGACGGATGTTGTTCACCACGTGAATAACAGATGGCAGTTTCGTCTTCTTTTTCACTGTAGATCCAATAGATGGCGATAGAGAAAAACTAATGATAATGAAATATTATTTTTCAATTGTGAACCTAAAGTGTAATATAAATTTCATACCGCACTTTTAACATTCCATTTTGTCAAAAAAGATAACCGCTAACCTGGTCACATTAACTACCACCTAAATAAAATTGTACTCTATGTACCATAAAGTAAAGTAACAATACTAAAATGCTGTGTTCTCAGAATATATTGTATAGTCTATGGCTGTGTATACACACACACACAAAGAAGAATGTCCACTGATAGCTCGCTAGCGCCGGTTATTTTGCTATATCTTGTTTGTGATCTCCTTTTTGTGTTTCGTTGTGAATTTCTCGTCGAGTTGAGCCTAGGTTCCTCCGAGTAATCCATAATTGTGAACAGAGAAGGTTTTTCTGATTAATTGAGACAGGACTCTAGTGAAGTTAGTAGGTACCTACAAACAATGTCTTCGGGCAGATACTGCTGTGTCCCAGGGTGTAAAGAGAGTGGAGGTATGCCAGACCAGATATTTAAGGCTATTTATTTATTTAACACAAGCTTCTTCACTTCTTGCAACGGCTTGGTGCGCGTAAAAATACATGTGGTATTTTTTCACCTGTGTCATTTAGTGATACTGATACAGTAAGTAGCATACTTAAAAAAATAATATTAAAAGAAATTGTGAAATCATTCCAGCAACAAGTTTATGAGCAACGAACTCATAAACTTGTTGGTCAGTGGGTCATCTTAGGGGAGGGTGTTGTCAATCCTAAACAATACAAATCAAGTAAAATGTACCATGCTATTTAATTAAATCACCGGCACAAGTAGACTTATATTTTAATACCTATAGCAACATACTTTATAATTTAAGTATAATACTTTATAACTTAATTTTTCTCAAGCCCCACTTTGATTAAAGACCAGCTACTGCCTATCATGTTTTTTTATGAGTTTATATGTAGCCAATATTTTTATTGCATGTTTACCTACTTTTAACGTTGATATCTTGACAATGCAGTTGATGTTATGTGTTTAACATTATTTTTTTAAGGTATGCATCAAGTACTTCATGGGTTCCCAAATCCTGGAGTTGATAGAGAACGCTTCAATACTTGGCTGTATGCAATTGGCAATCTTGAACTCTTGGGTTTGAAGAATGATCAAATATTGAACCACAGAGTGTGTCGTGCTCACTTTGAGGATAAATATTTGTGCCGTAACAACAGAATCAGTAATATTGCTGTGCCAACGTTGAAAATGCGGTGTAAGTATATAATCACTACAATTATAGCAAATACTTTTGGATAAACACCCCAGGTTACACACCCCCAGTGCTGCATTGTCATATGCAACTTGTTAGAAGCATTTTAAGACTGATATCATAAAAATTGTTGTGTCAAAATGTGACTAACTCGACCGAAACAGTTTTTTTTTTTACTTAATTCGTAATTTTTAAATAGTTCGGCAAACGAGCATGCGCAATACCTGATGGTAAGCAATCAGCGCCGCCCATGGACACTCGCAACGGAGGAGTAACGAGTGCGTTGCTGATTTGGATTCGCTTTTAGGGATTAGGAATTTGGAGATTTAGGGATTTAGGAGGGATTGGGGGAGGGGAAGCTTTACTGATTTTATCAAATTTTATATATACATTCAGTAATCTAAAATTGGCTAATATATATGTATTTGTCCTACCCCTAAGTGATAAGGGTGGTTCATCCATATCATTTTTTAACGGAGTTAAACCACACAAGAACTTATATTACAAAGTCCTAATATTACAATATTATTTTAAACATTCCAACATTCTTATTTTGAATAAACAAAATTGTCTCACAGCAATTTATGACAAAATTTACTTCAATACCTTTGTAATTAATTGCTTTATTCAAATATCTATGTTTTTGTCAGCATTGCTGCCTCGGACTTCGTTAATAAATACCACCAGACAGCCTTTGGAGCAAATTCAGAACCTACCATCACCATCATCAGGTAAATATAAATGACACCAATTTTTCTCATATAGCAACAATGCACAATGTTCTACACCTAGCAAATACTAGTAAGATGACGATGTACTTTACAAGTTTATCGAGGACATTGATGACATTGTAAAGTATAAAATTATGTATAGCCGTCTGTTGTTAATCATAAGACATTGACAGTTGTTACATGTAGTCAGAAGCCAGAAATTTGGTCATCATGCATTTCACCACATTATTAATAAATAATATAAGCAGTGTCCACACCCGCGGAAACTGCGAAAAAGACTTTTGCGATGCATTGTATTCTCTCATCATCAACGAAAATGCAGAAACAACGTCGACCTGCTCGTCGTTTGATTTTTCAAACATTTTTGAATTTAATTTTACACCTATAGAAATTGAAGAAAGGGATCCCCGTATTATTGGACCTCTCCAATATATAAGTGGATATTTTTTGAAGAAAATTAAATCTAAAATATTTAAAACTTGTACAGATTGCTGTAACCTATTAATGGAAAAAAATGAAGTTGAGTATATAAAATATACGGAATACGCAGGTCGACGATGGCTTTGCACTCCCAGCAAGAAGTTAATAGAGCTGATTTCTAATATGCAAGATTTAATCAATGAGATAACAAAAGAAAATATAGATAAATTAAATTTAAAGCTAATCATTAATACAGCTGTTAGTAATTTTGTTGATTTTACATTTATAAAATGTATAATACATAGAGAAAAAATAATTGATTTTTTAATTAATATTGTTATTAGATTTATGATTTTTAATTACTGTAAAAATATCAATAAAATATTAGCTGGGAGAAAAGATGTTGTTGATGATGAGGACAAATTGCAAGTTAAAGCTAAAAAGTTAAGCGAGTACTATAGAAAAAACAAATACCTAAACTAAGATTTTCATCAAATATGTTGTTTCATTTATACCTCTTTTTGTTGTAGCAGTAGATAGTGTAATTCACTATAAGAATTGTAAAATACTTGAAGTGAATTACACTGTCTACTACTCGTTTCAGTCACGTAGTTGAGCAGTAACGAAAAACAACCAACAATCTATAGATGCACATCCATAGTATCTGTTATGGTTATATATATAATAAAAATGTTGTCTTACATGGATAACAGATGGCGCTGTTAGTAGTTACCCATATTGACATCGAAGATCTATATCTCCTATTGCTAAAATGTATATTTCCTATTGCTAAAATGTACTCTGTGCTGCTTTCACTAATAAAGAAATGTTAGGAAAACGGGAGAACTTACTCCATTTTTTAAGTTTCCGTCGCGTGTTTAGCCTGTATGGTTAAACTTACATAGACAATATGTGTGACAGAAATATTCTACATAGAATTATCTTAAAAATATTGTACAACAGCATATGTCTATCTTTTATGTTTATCTCACAATATTATAGCACGTGCGGTGTAACTCCTGATAGCTTAGGATTTCGGAAAATAAGCTATCGCACCGTCGCACGCGCACGTGAACACTGAATCATGCTATACCTAAGGATTATTTTTGTGTAACGGTCGCATTTCTCGACGCGACGCGGTTTTTAAAATATAATAGAGTAATAAATTTAAAATATAATATAATAGAAAATAAAGTTTTATCATATGAAATATTTATAATACTTACCTATTAGTTAGATCCGTAACATTCTATCTATGGATGGACGGATAGCGGAGACTTAGTAATGTATACCAATTATATATAAGTACCTCGATTTTGTTCTATTGCTATAGGCTGCTTTTTATCGACACAGCACGCGGGCGAAGCCACAGGCGAAAGCTCATCATACAGAGTACGTTATTTTGGACATCTATTTAAATAAAATAGGAGTCATGGTTGATTATAAAACTATAAACTCATGCTCTAAGAGCATATTCCGGGCCCTCGACTCTTATCACTAATCATCATACACGCCCCCATTTTTACGTCCGATAACGAGTTGGTATTGTTGTAAACATCACACCAAACTAGCCGTTTCTTACATCATTTCGGACTCGAACTATGAAATAAGCAACCTTCGTCAGAGGCACGGCCATCGGCGTCAGTCGGTCGCCGTCAGCTGGCAGGGAACTACGTGTATTTGGTGCTAGTATTTGTATACCACGTCGCAATGTCTCAACAAGGGCCGGCGTTCGACGTCAACGCGATGACGCTGACTCGGTGGGTGCTCCACCAACAGCGAACTGCTCCAACGGCCACCGGCGACCTGACGCAGCTCCTCAACTCCATCCAAACTGCTGTGAAGGCCATCCAGTCGGCCGTGAGGAAAGCCGGCATCGCTAAACTGTTCGTATTATTGGAACTATTACTAAATTAGGTATTATTACATTTCATAATTAGGTCCGCCTTTTTTATTAAACACGGTGTGTAAATACATAAATTGTGAATCTGATATACTTAATGTGTACTTACTGTAAAACTTTCCCTGCCTTTATAGCCGGTGTTGTACATTATTTATCATCGCAGTGAGCATTCTATGTTTACTTTCGTTCTAAAGATAGCTTGATAATAATAATTATTGTATTTCGAAATCTACTTGCAGTAGGGGAAATTTCAATGATTCTATGTTGGTCTAGTGTTTATTTATAAGACTAGGAGCACACAGATGGCCATGACATCTCACTAGTTTAATTCCAAGGTCACGTTACATGTATATTTTTTTATAGAATTAATTCCAAATTTTTGGAATGTGTTAACTCAAAATGACTGACCAATCAGATCTGAACTACCTACTTAGGCTCAGTAGACTATACCTACCCAAAAACTTAATGGTTTTCGGACAAACTCACTTTTCTACACAAGCACTACTGTGACAAAATAAAGTTTTGAACACGACTTATCAATTATCTTTAAACAGTTTATGTCAACAATACTATGCAAATGATAAGAATTCGACCTTAGCACTTCAATGAACTGTGGACAATGTTCTGTAGGTAATGCTAACATTGACAGTAAACAAATGATGCCCCTAAAAATAAACTCTCGAACATTCTCTTGGGACATTAAAAAGTATTGTCGAACGTTAGTACTCGAAGATATTGCTCAACAAATGTCTGAAGTATTGCTTTTACCACTTGCCACACCTCCAAAGTCGGACCAATACGTAATAGACACACCCACGACCGGTTCAACTTGTTTTTATCAAATCGGATTGATTAATATCAAATGGCCATTATCTTTAAACAAGAAATGTTATAAATTAATTAATTACGAATTCTATATTTTGAAGGTATTCAAAAGGCTTGATTTAATTTAAATTAAGTATACCTAATACTATCTTATAGGTAGTTAGGCACCATTACCTCTCCACTAAAATCAGCTTTGTCTTCATAAAGAATTTTAGATAAGGGCCAAAAATTTGTTGTTCTAATTTCCTTCTAAATGTAACCGTATTTGTGACCAGGCACGGCATATCAGGAGACACCAATGTCCAGGGCGAGCAGGTCAAGAAGTTGGACGTATTATCCAACGACCTTTTCATCAACATGCTCAAGTCTTCCTTCACCGCGTGCTTGCTGGTCTCTGAGGAGAACCCTACTGTGATACAAGTGAGTACTTGTCTATAAACTTACCTAGTAAGTTTTCCTAGGATCAAAAGATCGTCAACTTATAGTTTGGGGTGTAGTTTAAAGATACTTTTAATCCATATTATGACAGGAAGATATTAAAGAGTTATGCCAATGATGATGCTCAATACGGTTGTTTCCAACTAGTCAAATTCAATACTTTTATCCAAATGTCAAAAACGATACTTTTCTATGAAAATTGTATGAAACATTGAATTATGACGTCATAGCATTTTTGAGTCAAATAGCTTACTTATTTTTAAAAAATTAGCTAAAAATATCTAAAACTTAGTGTATATATCGATCGATGAATAAAAGTATAGTTATTTTTCAATATTTTATCGTATTAAAACGTCGAATTAATTTATTTTTCACCTAGGAAACTACCCAATTCTGCAAAAACGCGCAATTTGGTAAAGTAATGAGGAACTTGTAATACGAGTGAATAGGTACCAATTTAGTAAGTTTAGGAATTGCGCTCATCGAAAAGTAGAAACTAACTATTAAGTACTTAGATAGGTAGGTCCTATACATCATTAGTCCATGGTAGTAATCAACTACAGGATCTGGTAACAAACAAACAATACTAAAGTCTAATTAACTTTCTGTGTGTAATGAGGAATTTTAATGAGGATTATGCGATCTAATTACGTTCCTAGATTATGAATTTACAGATAATACTGTCTAGACTCTAGGTCTAGCCTAAGTTGACCTTTAACTTTTGTACTGATAGATTTGCAGTCCGCTGATTCCCGGTCTGTTTATTTGTCTGAACGCGCCAGTCTCAGGACCTACTGGTTCGACAGGAAGCCATTATTAAGTAAGAAACTAAGAAATCATCGGAGACTGTGTTCGTTAATGTTACTAAAATATAAGTAGGTATTTCACTATTAAATATCATTATAAAAAGTTGAATTATACTGTGACTGTCATGGTTATCAGTCAGGGTCAAATATCACAATTCAAAACGAACTCGAATACTGATATAACGTCTTGAGTAGGTAAACAACATTTACTTACGAATAATAAATCTTGCATCAACGCAGGTAATTTATAGAAAACCTAACATGAGTAAGAACCTAGAAAGTAGAAACGTTTTATTATTATGGTGTAGGTATTTAAAAATGAACTACGTAAAGATAAGGCACAAAAATAGAGGAAGGCATGAAAAGAGAGAGAAAAAGAATATATTCGTTTAATATTTCTTAGTTCAATCAAACGATTTAAAATGAATGCGTATCTGTTGTATGTAGTACTTATCTATGCGGTCTTTTTTGCTTCCGCCTTTTCCTAAAAATGCCAAGGTCGATGACTAGTATATAACAAGATCTAGAAAATGAATATGAATATCGTGCTAATTGGTTTAATTTTAGACTGAGAATAGACGATACAGATTTTTTGTTGTTTATGTGTCGTGCCTAGTGTTGTGCGTAGTAAGTTATGACTGCTCTCCCTTAACTCCTATTCGATGGATTTTACAATGGACATATATAAAATATATATAGGTAGGTACCTACCTACTTACATTACCAACCGCTTTGGGGAAACAAAAGCATGACGCGTACGTCGTAAGATTCATTTTCATATTTAATTTTGTAATATGGAAAGGTAGGTTCTGTAACGATAGTATCTGTGTTGTAATAACCTACTTATGTTAATACAGTCATTGAGTCATTCATGTCCTTGGGACGCACTAGACTTCAGCGTATCGGTATTTTCATATTTGTAGGTATCTACTGTAGAGCCTGACCTACAGGAGTTGCGATTTTGGGAGATAGCGGTGGGCTTATCCCAAAAATACTAATCAATATGTATAATTTCATCAGGTTGAAAATGATAAGCGTGGTAAATACGTGGTGTGCTTCGATCCGCTCGACGGGTCCTCAAACATCGACTGTCTGGTGTCCGTCGGGTCCATCTTCTCTATTTACAAGTAAGTATAATGCAAGTAGGGTGCAAGGGCAATGTTGTACTACCATGTCCCGGCTCGAAGGAGGAGAGTTATTGGTTGATAGGTACTTGCTTGGTGATAGACTACTGAGGTCGTGGTGGCCCGGAGGTTAAGGAGCCCACTTCTCATGCATGAGGGTGTGTGTTCGAAACCTGGCAAGTGCCAATGTGACTTTTTCCGAGTTATATGTACTTTCTATGATTATTTAGACACCACTGACATACGGTGAAGGTAAGCATCGTGAGGAAACCTGGACTTATAAATAAATTCTAATTATAAGTTTGAAATCGCCAACCCGCATTGAGCAAGCGTGGTGATTAATGCTCAAGCCTTCTCCGTTTGAGAAGAGGCCTTTGCTCAGCAGTGGGCCCTTATAGGCTGATGATGATGATGATGATGATGATGAGTCTACTGCTGGATTATGCCACCTCCATAAATAATCATCAGGTTTGGCATGCAAGTTGAAAATCGCAGTATAAAAAGATATTAAGTAAGTAGAAAATTCTACTCAGTCTCTATTTGTACATTCTTACGACATCTTCGCTGGATTAAGAGTGGATATTATGAAATACCTACATTAATCAAAATAGACAAAAAGGATAGACCGCTCCAGTTCCACAAATAACGTTAACTAACTGCATAATAATGTCTATAAGATTAGCTACATAGAATAATTGCAGACGTAACTCCTAGTAATTTATAAATTGTAGTTAAGCCATAAAGCCATAAAAGTTAATTGACGTTTGTATAGGTACTTAGGTACTCTATTGTTCTGCTGTTAACTCCAACCATAAAATAATACACGTATCTAGGTGCAATATGTGTAACTATCGCCATAAACAAGGCTCAATTTCCGACTCCATATTTGAACTTTCAACAGGCAATATAATACTAGTAGGTACACATCACAGCATCAGCCTATAAGTGCCCACTGCTAAGCAAAGTTCTCTTCTCACAAAGGTTTAAGCACTGCCACCACGCTTGCTCAAGGTAGATTGGCGATTTCAAACTTATAATTAGAAATTAGAAGACCAGGTTTCCTATTTTTACGGGATGGGTCGGCAAACAAGCAGACGAATTACCTAATGGTAAGCAATCAGCGCCGCCCACGGACATCCGCAACACCAAAGGAGTTACGAATGCGTTGCCGGCCTTTTGGGGATAACGGTTTCGAATAGGTAATTAAGGATAGGGGAGGGAAGGGTAACCTGACTCACACGGCGAAACACAACGCTGTGTGGTTGTTTCAGGTCAGTTTTCTGTCAGGCCATGGTACTACTCCTGTCGAGCCGACCCATTCGTGCCGAAGCTTGGCTCTCCCGCACTTAAAATTCCTCATGATGTTTTCCGTCACCGTATGTCAGTGGTGTCTAAATAATAGGACAACGAGGTATATTAATCTCATATTTTGCTTTCCAGAAAGAAGTCCGCTGGCGACCCAGTAGAAGCTGATGCCTTACAACCTGGCAATGAGCTGGTAGCAGCTGGTTATGCCTTGTATGGATCTGCTACTATGATGGTCCTGTCTCTAGGCAAAGGCAAGGGAGTCAACGGATTCATGTACGACCCTTCCATTGGAGAGTTCATCTTAACCGACCCTAACATGAGGATACCTGAGAAGGGAAACATCTATTCTATTAATGAAGGTACATTTTGCAACATACACATAAATACATACGTCTTTTTTAATCCCCGAAAGGGAACTTTTCCCATGGAAACGTTACCGCGTTCAACTCTCTTATTGGTTGGTTAACTTGGAGCAGGCCAATCAGAGTGCCTAACGCCATTAACGTGTCGATCTCGTTAACGCAATAGAAATTTGGACTAGGCACTCTGTTCAACTTGAAAAAATATGTAAGTAATTTTGAATTGTAAGAACACCGGGACTTTGTTCACAGTAGGTTAATTAATGATTTCATTTTTTTTTTATCTGAGTACTTTTTGTCGTGGTTTGAGAATCATTCTGATAAAGAGATAAAGTGTAGGACGCGATAAACGCCGATACATATTTTGTTTGTAGACTGGTTTGAAAAATACCTATCATGAATTTTTTATCGCTATTTTTAGTGGGTGTGTTTTTAACATCTTGTAAAGTTCATCAACTGACCTTTGATTTTTTTATCCGACTCCAGAAACATATATTATTATTTTTATTTAGAAAACTTTAACTTAAGTGGTACAATCGATGAAACTATTTCTTAACCCCACGCGATCTGGTAACAAGAGTGGTGAACAGATGGCGTTTTAAACTTTCAGTGTCATTGTTCTTAAAACCAAATTTGAAAGAAATCATTAGTAATTTAGTACCACACGTTATTATGGTCAAAATGAATGCCTAGATAGGTTATATTCTTGATTTTATTTTTAGATGTTTGAATTCCGAGTAAATATAAAATAATAACGTGAAGTTGACACTTACCGACCTCTTTCTTTTCAAGGATACGCAGCTGAATGGGCGGCAGGGCTTAGGCGATACATAGAAGATAAGAAGAATCCTAAGACCGGCAAGGCTTACGGAGCACGTTACGTTGGTTCCATGGTAGCGGACGTTCATAGGACTATTAAATATGGCGGTATCTTCATGTACCCAGCTACAAAGTCAGCTCCGAATGGAAAAGTGAGTGCAGACTGTTATTATACTAGTAATTAATGACATTTGTTTATACGTATTTTACGTATTTCTTGGAATTTATTCCAAAAATCCTCTTGGACTGACATCACATTTCTGGGTAACCTATTTCAAACTATAACCGTAAACGCAGCTAGATGTAAAAAAACGATAAGTGTAGATCAGTAGACTGGATTTAATTATACATATAAGTGAGTGCCCCATTAATCAGTGAGTACCTAATGCAATGAAAGAGATAACAGATGAGACAATATAATACTTACTGACCCCATATTTATCGGATATCAATAGGGCACTGTTTAATAAATACTATGGTAAACAATTACGAAATAACTATGCTTAGTAAGTAGTAACAAATATAATTGTCAGCCAGGATCAGTAAAGATACTCTCAAAATCAGTTTTTTTTTCTTTACTGTCGTTCAAAAGATACAAATATTCTAATATATTTACTGATGTACTTATATTGTAGTATTTTCATAAGAAAAGTCATTTTTAAAACGTTTTTAAATTGTACATCATCATCAGCCTACAAGTGCCCACTGCTGAGCTAAGGCCTCTTCTCACACAGAGTAGGTTTGAGCATTAATCATTAAAGTGTACCGCAGCAATGACAGCAATCAGTTACAGGCAGTGGGCCTTTTAAATTTTCCCTTACGAATCTTTGACGGATCTTTTGAAGCTTGGTTGACCTAAGAGTATTTTTTTAGAAAAGCGTTATACGTATCCTCCACTTTGAACAGAGCACTTCGTTAACAAATTTAATACATTTTAAACAAATTATTATTTAATTTCCAGCTTCGTCTGCTTTACGAATGCAACCCGATGTCGTTTATCGTGACTGAAGCTGGTGGTTTGGCCAGCAACGGCCAGATCCCGATCCTGGATATCGTTCCCACGGGCATCCACCAACGCGCTCCCTGCTACCTCGGCTCCAAGAAAGACGTGGAGGAACTACTATCGTATTTGAACAACTAGACTTAATACAAAGTAAAATATTGTTTTATATAAAATGTTGAATTATTTTGTTATCGTATACTATATTATTATGTTAAAAGACTGATAAATCGTGTTTTTCAATAAAAATACTGTATCATTTCAATTGTTTTGTTGAAATCCTTTTATTTTCCAACAAACTATTATTTGATTAGCATATAGCAACAGCTTCAACGCCTCGATACATTCAGAGAGTGAATCTAATGATAATAATAAAAAGTATAAAATCAACTACGACAAAAACCGACGCTGAAAAAGTATAAAACAAGATTTTCAGAATACTGAAAGGCGTAGTCACACGTTATCAAAGTGCAAGTATGGTAAGTAAATGTAATGTGTCGTCGTTGGGTCTTAGTTTTTAATATTGTACTATTTTGGTGTTAAAAAGTATTTGTGGCGCATCATATCAACAAAAGAATGAACTAATATTGATTAATAAAAGGTATGAACGAAAAGATGTGAGTTATATGCAATCAGCCCATGAATACAAACAAGTTTATTTTTTTACTCTGGTTGGATTTTGTGATACATCATATAGCCTATAACCAGCGGACAATTAAGACGTTTCTAATGATATGTATGTATCGAATTCTAATAAGCAGTTTAGAAGTTATGAGGGAACAGATGAACATACATACATACATACATAGCCTGTCAAAATCATAACCCTCCTTTTGCTTTGCCGTAGTCGGGTAAAAATCAAAAAATTATTCCCTCATTCCTCTTCCTGCTTTAGGACGAGGCAACGGTACCTTATTTCGCTAGCCCTCAATACCTGCTAAACATCGGCCCTATAGGGTCCCATCTGTGGTGGTCTATTAGCTCTTTCAGGCGAGCGATGGATAAGGGGTAAATGCAAATTTATATACAATGATTTTATATGCAAATGAAACTACAACGAATTAACTTAAATATAATTTATTTACATGAAAAATAATACATACATTACTTAACACGTAGCAGTGTTCTGTCTCAATTGATGTAAAACCAGTCTTAGTCGGCTTATTTAGTCGAATTGATCGTGAATGTTAATTTTTAAATACAATACTTTTTGTTGTCTTCTCATTCACTGCAAAAATAAGGCAATGCTGTTAATGTGCGTCTTATATGACAATTGTGAGCAAATCGGTGTATTTTTTGTTCATACCCTACGCCAAAAATTGCAAATCCAAATAAATTACTACGTGATTATATACCTTATGTGTTGTTTATTATTCACATTACTAACTAAATATTTAGTGTAGGTACAATAATGAAATATTTGGATCAAAACCTAAATAGGAGTGACAGAATCGTAAAGTACTGACTGAGTGTTGTTGTCAAGGCAAAATTTTAGCTATTTAAGACGACACTAAGTCGAAATCAACTGTTTTAGGAGATTATATGAAATGTTAAAACTCCGTAACACTTATCACATAACTGTTAACGCACCATTAATTTGTATCGAGGTTATAAATAACTTATTGATATTTTCTAGCTATGGCCTAAGCTACATTGTTTATATAGGAGTAGGTTTTAACAGTACAGAAGGTGATAGGTATACAATTTTAGTACAATCGACAATACATCCAAATTCGCGCAGACATACACACATTTCTACGGTAATTTACTTAGTTTTTGTTATTTTTAATATTTCTAACTAGTTATAGTGACAGTGGGTCACGGTTGAAATCGGTCGATTGTACCTAAATACTTTTACAGCCCAAAACATTACAATGGTAAATATTTTTTTTAGTTTTACTATTTTTATGTACTAAATGGTTATCACTCGTGTTAAGCTTAAACATAGAAATAATAGGACACGAAATATTCCCAATCAAGTCCTTTATCAATACCAAGCTCTTGATAATTGGTTGTGAACTGTTTCAAGTAGGTAAATATAAATATTCAAAAATCCAAAACACACTATTACTTCGCACTCTATATCCTCTTTATTCATATCTCACGAGTCTTATCATACTACACCATTTTAGTACCATTTTTATAGATGAAAGACTTTTATATACCTCCCAATGTCTACGTGATAGCTTATGTTCACAGAGGATTGAGTAGCATTGCAACAATGAAATCTTTCCTCATTAAAATATTAGGATACCGAGATGTGTCCAATAATGTTTTTAAAACCCAGTTTTCAAAGATGAAAATAAATTAAACTAACCCTATGGCTATCTATATTTTTATCTTGCTATTTCATTCTGTATTTTACATAAGTTTTCTCGAAACAATTTTTGGCTCAATTATGATTGATGACGTGTACTAATGTACACGTACAATCCATAAGTAATATTATTGAAATGGGGGTTGTAAGGCGAGATACGAGATATAAATAGATAATGATAGCAATGATAGCTTCAAGCTAAACCATGAGACATGATTCCTCAGTCAAAATAAAAATGGATGAACTACTAAACTAACTTCAACACAAAATAACATAAAACAAATGGTTCAACTCAAAATGAGCTTATTTTTGGAATCAAATTTCTAAATGACGTACGCTAACGTCACTTTCTTAAGTTTATTTTACTTCAAAATTAATGAGATGTCAAACAGCGTCTTCCCTCCAAATAAAAGTAAATCTGACAGCTGTCAGTTGGAATAACATGTCAAACACATCTTCAGATTTCCCTATTCGGTCCAAATCTAGCTAATTATAATTATTAATTACATGTTTATTACATTTAGCAGATTTGTTACCCCGACTTCAGTAACGTTTTACCAGTACCTCCATTATCTATTAATTTGTCTATGCGGTGAGGGCGATGAACTGATGGAACACGTCCAGGATGTGAGGGTCCAAGTCCTGAGTAAACAGCAGTGTCTCCAGGGTACTGCTGTACTTCTGCACTTGTTCGTGGTGCTGTAAGGGATAAAGTTAGTTTAAGAATAAATTTATATTAAATACGTATATATATTTGGTATAGTAACGTTTTACTATGATAATCTGACATAAGCGACTGTTCATACAGTGACACTATAAATAAAAAAAAAACATTTAAATCCAACGGTATATGGCAGCAAAGTATAGTAAATTAAAATTAATAATAATTTAGAATTCTTAGGAACCTATTTAAAAAATGCTCAAACCAGCATGATCCATCATAATAACACTCTAATTTTTATAAACAACTCTTTGTATGATCTTCTTAATATTGTTCCAAGTCTAGGTGTGAAATTGTATGTTAGTAAACGCACCCACGACAAAGGAGAACATCCTAGTGTGTGGAAAAAAAAACAATTTTTTTTTTAGTCATTGCCTTCGGCACATCGTGCTGAACGTGCACAAGTTGCACGGCAGCCAATTGCCTAGCCACCATGCCAACCATGCAGTCTATGATATTTAATAATTTATGCAGTAATGCCCGGTTTCTGAAAGCTATGATGTTAAAATCAACTAACTAGGTGTCAAATCTCTTTGGTTGTCATCTGATTGGTTGTTGATAATTCAGTCAACCTGACAGACTTGACAAGACATTAAATTGATTTTAACATTGATCTGGCTTTCGGAAACGGGGTGTAAAAGTTACAAAAATGTGTCCTTATCATCTAAACTCGGCAAACTGTAACGTTTGATGGCGAATATATCTATAGATATGTGACTGAAATCAAAATCCAACATATTATACTCACAATCAAGAAGACCTGTCGCAGCCTGCCAATGGTACTGCGGTACCAGTGAGTGTCGGGGTCCCTCGCGTCGGTGTCGCAGCGCACCAAGTGCTCGGACAGTATCATGATGAAGCGCTGGAACACGATCAGGAACAGACGCTTCTGGTCCATGTGCGCTGCTTCTAAACGCTCCTCCATGCGTTCTACTGCCTGTGAATGAAAATTTAGCTAATGAGTACACGTATCAGTCTTTCTTTTTGTGAGGGGAAAATCATGAAATGAGTCTCCCGCCCAGGGTGGAGCGGGAGTGAGTGTCAGGCTCTTACTGACTAAAACTCCCTTGTTCTTTCTCCTACTCTAGTCCGAGGCCGCGGTACCTAATGCACCTACCAAGCAACCCAAGTTGGGGTATCAAAGTCAAAGTTAAGTGTGGGAGAGCCATGCTTCGGCACGAATGGGTCGGCTCGACCGGAGTGATACCACGGCCTCACAGAAAACCGGCGTGAAATAACCACAGCGTTGTGTTTCGCCGTGTGAGTGAGGTTACCGGAGGCCCAATCCTTCCCCTCCCCCAGTCCCTCCTAAATCCCTAATCCCTAAAAGGTCGGCAACGCACTCGTAACTCCTCCGTTGCGAGTGTCCATGGGCGGCGCTGATTGCTTACCATCAGGTAATCCGTCTGCTCGTTTGCCGACCTATTAAATAAAAAAAAAAAGTCTAAGGCTAGCTTTTGCTCGAGTAATCAACACCTTCTGCCAGAAGGTTAGAATATAGGCATCGGAAGATATTATCCACTGCTGAACAAAGCCCACCCTCCTCTTAGTCCTCCACGTAGTAGGACTACTCGCCACCTACATCGATTGGCTCTCCGTGATTGACGTAGTCGTCCGTCGACCTAGCGGAAGGCCTACCCCTGCTACGGTTACGGACTCCGTGTTTGAGTAATAAGAAACGGAAAAGTTAAAAATGAATTAAGTACAACTTTAACAAAATAGATCTGTAGAAGTAGACATTGCGCAGATTAGTAGTGACATGAGCTTCAATAATGAAGGTAAAAATTTTTAGTTAATTACACATAGTTTTCCTGTAATTTATCGTTTTTGAATAGTTTACGACAACATATACAGCCAGTCTATGACAGGCAAGCTCGCAATAATCAACAGATTAAAATAAAACTTATTACAAAAAGGTATAATTATGATCAAATTTTACCTCTTCAGTAGGTTTATCTTGGTCTTTCTTCTTTTTGGTGTTGTTCTCGTCTTCAGAGTCAGAACTGCTGGAATCCGCTCTAGCAAGGGCCTCCCTCGCTTCCTGGAGCTCGCCGCCTGAAAGATTAAAGTACCAATAAATATCCGAACTTGGGACTCAAACTT